GAACCTGAATCTCACATATTAAAATGGCCGGCTCAGGAATTCTGGGAATTGAAGTGCACAAGTCAAATAGGAGACATAGTTCTCCATGAGGAGATCTCTGATTCTTAGACATTTGGCTGAAGGCATCTTAAGCTTTCCATGAAAGCAGATCCATTTTACTTCCCTGCAGCCCCCTCCTGTGACTGAAATCTCCAGAGTCCATTGTTGACAAACTTATTTCCTTTCCTTTCTTCTCCAGGAGCGCGAGCATGTTTGACATGAGATGCCCAGTAGAGGCTGCTGTGAATCAACCTCACAGTAAAGATCGCCACGAAAAGCTTCAGATCATTCAACACCAGCTGAAGGAAGAGGAAGATCAGTGGCAAGATGTGAGTAGCGGGGTCCATAGAGTTACGGCCAGCAGAGCTAGTTGCTATCGCAGGAGCTTTTGCAAACCACGTTTTAAGTTACGGGCACAATAAATAGACTCAAGGTATGTGAAGTGTGAATACCACTTTACAAGGCCTTGGTAAGGCCACACTTGGAATGTTGCATCCAGGCTTGGTCGTCTCGTTGCTAAAAAAAGATGTTGAGACTCTGGAAAGAGTGTGGAAAAGAGCAACCAAGAGGACTGGAGGATAAAATATACAGTTGCAGGAATTGGGTGTGTCTAGTTTAATGAAAAGAAAAACTAGGGGGGACATGATAGTAGTTCCTGGGATCATTTGGCCCAGTTCCTGCGCTATTCTGTCCGATATTTCCTTTGTCTGAAACCCAGCTGATTGGCACAGCGATGCGGAATACCGCGCCTCAGCTGTTTTTACTCACCAGAGCTGTAGTAAAAGGTAAGTTTTCTTGCTGTTTTTCAAACGAACTGCGCGCGTGCTCAGTGAACCGGTTGTTACACCGGTTGAATCCCACCACTGGAACAACCTATTCTCCAAAGCATCTGAAGGCAGGACAAGAAGCAACGGATAGAAACTCATCAAGGAAAGAAGCAATCTAGAACCAAGGAGAAATTTCCTAACATTGAGAACAATTAATAAGTGGAACAACAATTTCTAAGAAGACAATGGAGAACCATTTGACCGAAATTGTTTCCTGCCTGAGCAGGGGGTTAGACTAGAAGACCTCCAAGGTCCCTTCCAACTCTGTTATTCTATTTCTAAGAAGGAAACAATGTGAAAATGGTTGACCCCACTACCTTCTATTTTTTTTTAAATTTGACAGTCTGACATTAACTCTATTCCATCTATACACACACACACACACGCGCGCGCACTGTCAGACCACCCAGCTGGAAAATTTGGGGACCTCAAGGTTAGCTTATAACTACCTGCTCTGTGATTTTATGTAGGATTTAGCCCGGTGGAAAAACCGTCGGAGGAGTGCTTCCCAGGATTTGCTGAAAAAAGAAGCCGAGAGGAAAAAGATGGAGCAGCTACTCACTGGAGGAGAGGGAAGCAACGAGAGACGGAAGAGCATCAAGACGTACCGAGAGATTGTGGAGGAGAAGTACGTAGCCTTAAGCAAGCAAAGGCTGGTTGCGGAAGGCACACCTGATCATAATATGGGTTGGGTTGGGTTGAGCGTATGAATGAGCCCAGGCAGTCCTGACATATTTAGAAACCACAGCTAAGGAAATGATGGTCCAGATA